AGGGCTTTTGAAAACAATATAACTGAAGTATTGCTGCGGTTCATGCAAAACTACTAAAACTCATCACTTTTATTTCACTTTATTTGATTGTTTTGCAACCGATCACAGTCGCCGTTATTCCGCTAACATTTTTTTAATGTCAGATGATCTAAGCGTAACCTGAGCGTACACTTGAGGCCTGTTAAATAAGATCATATATGTTTCCGTTGGGGGTTCGTCTTTCAGCTTTTTTGTTACCTTCGACTCAAACTGTTATCAATTTAGCCGTCATTTTTTTCTACTGCTTTAGTTCTTTTTTCTTTTCTTTGCCTTCCATTCCTCTTTTTCTAACCACTGTCTCTATTTCTCATATTGAGTGCAGAAGAGTGGAAGCATTAGAAAAAAGGAGGATTTTTGAAACAATTTTCACGAAAAGAAGGTGGAGGTATGCTGTGTTATGAGGGAGTGCACTATTCTTTGATTTATGCGGTGTTAGGTGAGTGCAGATTGACAAATGTTAGCATAGCATCTGTAGCACCCTCAGCTCTGTGATTTTTTGTGGCTACTTCTTAATTACATTTGCATGTGTTTCTGTATTTGTATATATAAGCGAGTTTTTGGCCCACTGTGTCTTTGAGTGTATTTATTAGTTTTTGTTATTCTTCAAATTGAAAGCCGTGAAATTAATTGTTACTGAAAACGATATTTAGGGCTTGAAATTGTTGTTTCAGAAAAGCAAGGAAGCAAAAATGCTGTTATTTTTCAAATTCATCTGTACAGCTTTATTATTTCGGTTTTTGAAAATTTAAAGTTTTTTTTCTATATTTTCATCCTTTTTTTTTTCAGTTTTGCTTGTTTAGCTTTTATAGGATAGTGATGAGACAGATTTACTAAGATTAGTTACCACTGTTTCAAAATACTAAATTCTTCTTAGAATTTTTAAACATTTCAAAATATTATTTAGTGTAAACTTCTGTTCTCTGAACAAGTTTTGGATATAAATGTTAATTAAGTTTTAGGTTGCTCTAAGTTGACTTTCGGTAGAAGTGCTGTGTTTTTTTTATTTCAGTGTTTAATGTTTTTTACGGCTGCATTTTTCCCAGTTGGCTTACTTTTGAAATTTCGTTACTTCTTAGTTTTTTGGCAATGTGATTTATTCAAATTTGTGGTGTAGTTAACATGATTGTTGCACCTGTTATAATTTGAAGGAATTTAATATTTTCAAGACGACCAGAGGAAGGGCTGAATTAAAGTGCAGTTGATGCAACAGAGGATTAGTAATCAGTTTATTGACAGCGAAACAGTCAGTTGTAACATTGCATTTTGAATATAATTTACCTAATCTCAATTCATTTTATTGCAGTACTTTCTTCTTCTTTGTTCTCCTTATGCTTCAGACTTGTTATATCTTCGTTTTATTGGGGTTTATTGATTATCTAAGTTCGTTTATTGCTTATTCAGTAATGGAAACTTGAGAAAGAAAAGGAAAGAAAAAAAATCGTTTTTTTCCAAATAATAATGAAGAAAAGGAAAAAATAGCAGATACTTTGTTCTCAGTGTATGCTAAGTAAGTGCAGCCAGAAACTTAGCTCATTTTGTAATAATAGTAATGATAATAATAAAAATAATAATAATAATAATAATAATAATAATTATTATTATTATTATTATTATTATTACTGTTATTGTCATTACTACTATTATTATTATTACTGCTGTTATTATTGTTATCCTTATTGTTATCAATTTTATCAACTGTACAACAGCTGAGTGTTACTAACACCAAAAATACTGTGCTTTCTTCTTCCTTCTTCTGTCAGCCTTTTTTCTTTATCTTTTCCATCTATCATTACTGACCTTCTGTAGCTTTTCAGAATCTTTGTTCCACTGTTAAGCTATTTTCGCTTTGTTTTAATGGTTAGATGCTGTTAGAAATGTATGAGCAGCGGCTATAGATGAATTCAATTGACCGTAGCATCATTGCTCGCCAAATAGTCATAAAGCTCAGTGGTATTTGAACGGCATTGCTTTTTTTAATTGATGGCAAGGCAAGGTTTTGGTTTTTTCAGTCTGGGTAACTAAGCTTTCCAAAGCTGGTTATTTTTCTTTTCCTCATTTTTTTTTACCAGTACCTGATTATTGTGGGTCTATTTTTACTGCAGCTGCGAGAATGTTGATGGTCAAATTCTTGGTCTCTACTTCTTTTTTTGTATCTTCATTGTTCAGGAGGTGTTTTAATGATCATTACTATTGTTATTACTAT